ATGGCCATCTTTGAGAAACTCACTCATGCAAAGCCACTGATTGTGCCAGGTCCTGCCCCGCATGCCCTCTGAGCCATCCTGTGATGGATGGTTACTAATTATGTAGGAATTTTTAGCCTCGCTAGTAATCAAGCAAGGAACAGTGAGCTCCTAGTTTCCACCTGTAAGGTCAGCAACACTTTGTTTTAAAGAGGTGCCCAGTGCCAGTGAGGAGGCTCTGAGGTCGGCACCTTGACATCCTTTCCAGAAAGCAATTCAACAACACGTCTCTCAAACTGTTTAAATGTTAAAATTCATTAATCCAGCAAATTTACCTGGAAGTAAGAACACTGTTGGGGATTTAGGCAGGGATTCTCACTAGTTATCATTTGTTATGTGTATACCATGTACTATGGACTAAATATATGTAAATGATCCCCTGTGTCACAAAGATGTTCACCGAAAAAGCGTTTTATTAGTAAAAATATTAAAAATAAGCTCTATATATACAACAATAGAGAATGCTTAACTTAGTGCATAGAATATAATGGTATACGTTAAAGCCTTTAAATAATTTTAAGTCTTTAAATAATTTTAAGTGCCACAGGAAAAGCTCTTATGTACAAAGGTCCTTCAAAAAGTTGGCAGAAAGATGAAATTAAAAAATTAAAAATAAGTGTACATTGAAAAAATTGCAAAAACAATTATGGAAGAATATGCTCCACCCCAAATTTGAAATCCATGAAGAGTTGTGTTTTTTTGTTGTTGTTTTTTTTTTTACAGGCCTAGTGGACAGTGAGAGAGAGAGAGACAGAGAGAAAGGTCTTCCTTTGCCGCTGGTTCACCCTCCAATGGCCGCCACGGCCGGTGCGCAGCGCTGATCCGAAGGCAGGAGCCAGGTGCTTCTCCTGGTCTCCCATGGGGTGCAGGGCCCAAACACTTGGGCCATCCTTCACTGCACTCCCGGGCCACAGCAGAGAGCTGGCCTGGAAGAGGGGCAACCGGGACAGAATCTGGTGCCCTGACCGGGGCTAGAACCTGGTGTGCTGGCGCCGCAAGGTGGAGGATTAGCCTAGTGAGCCACGGCGCCGGCCAGAGTTGTTTTTGTTTTTTTTTTTTTTTAAATAATGTGCATTTTCTGTGGACATTTTGAAGACCCCTCATATAGGGCATGAGTATAACTTATAACAGATATGCATGCTTGAAAATAATAAGGCAGAATACATAGAATACTACTAGATAGTGTGGCCATGTTTTAAATGATGTCTGCATCTGCTTTTTTTTTTTTTAAGTGATTGATTAGCAAAGTGACAGAGAGGGAGAGACGAGAGCAAGAGATCTTTCACTGGTTCGCTCCCCAAGTATTTGGGCCATCCTCTGCTGCATTGCCAAGCATTTTAGCCCAGAGTTGGATCAAAAGTGGAAGAGCTGGGGGTTGAACCAGCACTCTAATGTGGGACGCTGGTGTGGCAAGCGATGGTTTAACCCACAATACCATCACCTAATTCCTATTTTCCTACAATTGGCAGGTGTCCCTTTTATAATGAAAAAGTTAAAAAAAAAAAAAAGCACACACATAGATGTCACACACACACACACACACACACACACACTGGATGAAAGCAACTCCTTATCTTCATTCTTCCCTCAGACAGCTGCCTCTTGGTCCAGTCCTTGTGAGTCATTCATCTCGTCTGGGCTTTTTATTTTCTGTTTGCAAAATGGGTATAATAATCCTGGCCTCTCTACCTCATATGATAGTTGTATGCCGCCAGCCACCTTCTGCTCATAAAACCCCAGGTGAATGCTAATGACTGTTATTACCGATACACTAATGCTCTCTGGGAGGAGTGAGTCACAGTGGCTGTGACATCACTAGTGAGTCTCACTTAAGGGAAGAATGCTCTCCTGAGACAGGATGTGACATGAAGAGATGGAAGGTGGAGAGGACTACCAGCTATTACTGGGTAGCAAACAGCTCAGCGCCTCAGCAGCCCACCGCTGGTGTTAGTGTCGCACTCACACGTTGCACATCAGCTGGGGTTTGGCTGATCTTGGCTGGGATCAGCAGGGTTGAGCCCAAGCTGCTGTTTGGGTACAGGCCTGTTCCATTTGTTTCTCATCGTCTCAGCACTGGCAAGCTAGCTGGGGCATGTTCTCCTTAGGGCAATGGCAGAGGCAGAGGTCCAACACACCCAGTTGGACAAGCGCATTGTAAGCCCCTTGGTGTTTCGTATCTGCTAACGTCCCATGAGCAAGCCCAGAGTCAAGGGTCAAAGCGAAATCAGTATCCTCTTTCCAAGATCGTGGGAGGATCTACAAAGTCCCACGGCAAGGGGTGTAGAGGGTGCATAAGGAGCAGAAGGAGAAGAATTGAGGCCAGAAATTCAATCAAGCGCACAGAGAACTGGGAAGGTAACGTAAGTCATGGAGCTGTCATCTGACTCTCCCGCCCACGGGAAAAGAGGGTGAAGGGAGGGACAGAAGTGTGGGCTCTGGCCTGTTGGAGGCAACTGGGAAATGCTATCTGCACATTCCTTCACTCATGCAGACAAAAAACACTTACGAGGGTTGGCTTGGAGTTTGGTGGGGCCCTGAGCTGGAACACAGTATAGGTGAGTTTGGAGCCAGGCCCTTATTCCCTTTAGCAGTTTTCCTTAAAAACTTTATTTCCAAAGCTGCCACCCATAGCCATATTTTAAATGCAATTTACTTTGCTGTTTTCCTGCCTCTTGTGTTGCTATGGTTTTAAAAGGTTGTGCGTATTTTTATACGGTGTCTCAAGCATTTCGCCTGTGTGTAAACATCTCTGTGATCTGAGTTCTCTCTGGCAGGAGGAAATGGAGATGTTCTCAGACAGGACAACAAGGAGACACCCGACAGTGTCGACCTACAGCCTGGGAGGGTGGTTTTGGTGGATGCTTGGGCCCACCTGGCCCAGGAGCACCTGAGGAAGATGAGGTTGGGGTCCTACAACCATGCACCTGCGGGGCTCCCTGAGGAGGTCTCTGCAGGGAAGTTTGCAGAGACAGAGGCAGGGGTCAGGGGCTGGGAGGCAGCCGGCCATGCACGTGACCTGGGCTGTGGCTCTGGCTCATCAGGGCGAAACAAAGGCATGAGGAAGAGAGGACGACACAGCGGCAAACAGAACCGGATGAGAGATGAGTGGGCAGGGCAGTGCCTTCCAGGGCCAAGGCCCCGCCAGTGCTGCTTTTATGATTCCTTTCTGTGTTGGAGTTCCGGTCTGAGCAGGGATGAGCAAGGCTAGGCTGGAGGGCTCAGGGAGCTGACTGCAGGTCACCTGGGGTATTGTGAAGACTGGCACAGATCAAGGGCCCTTCCCCCATACCAGCTGGAGTCTGTGTCAAGATTATTCCTCTTAATTGGGACCAGATGACCTGGACCAACTACCAAACAGGAGTCTGGTTTTCTTTCAAAAAAGAAACAAATATGTAGTGTGTGTGTGTGTGTGTGTGTGTGTGTAGTGTGAATTCTGCCAACTCTTGGTAGCATCAATACAGATGTCTCTCTTAGCAAGAGCTCATTGTACCCATCAAAATCAATGACTGAACTTCAATCTAATCATGAGAGAAAAAAAAAATCAGACACATCCCCAAATACCTGACTAGCTCCCAAAGCCATCAGGGTCATCTTGAACAAGGGAGAAAGGTCACAGCCAGGAGGAACCTCAATGTAATGTGGTGTCCTGCATGGGATCCTGGAACAGGGGACAAAATGAGTAACAACTAAGTAAACCCACATGAACTTGGGCTTCAGTTAGACATCTCACAGGAACACTGCTTCACAAACTGTAGCTAATGAACGATGCTAAAGGCAGACGTTTATAGAAGAATTGGGTATGGCATTTGCTGGGACCCTCAGTACTGTCTTAATTTTCTGTAAATCTTTTCTAAAAAAGACAAATCTGTTCTTCAAATCAGTGTCACGGGGGAACAGCACACGGTTGAAAGCCAGGCTGCTGGAGTCTAATCCCAGCTCCTCACAGGTTGCGCAGCTTGGAAGGACAGACGTGTAGCCTCCTGTGCCTCAGTTTCCTCACACTGCACCCAGAAGAACCACACACACTCCCACACACCTTTAGTCCCTGGGGACTAAAATGCATCAGAAATCTCTGGCACAGTGCACATGTAGCTGATTTCATCCATCAATAAAAATAAAGGTGTGAGTTTACTTGAAATATTCTCTAAGACAGGACAATGCAAACATCAGCTGAGTTTTTTTTTTCTCTCTCCGTAAACAAATAAGCAAACAGGAGCAAGCTCAGGACTTGATTTGCTCTCCACTGTCCTATAAGTCCCCTGACTCCGCCCCCTGCCTCCAGCTCAGCCTCAGTTTATCTCTTCCTGCACTTGCTGCAGTTCCTCCTTAAGTTTTCCTATTCATCTCCAGAGTCAAAGGGGATGACCCAGGCAGGAAACTCCTCCCCAGAGGCCATATTGGCTCAAGTGGATCCATCGCCTCTGCAGTGTCTTACCTCCTCCTCCTTCCCTGGAGTGGCCCACCAAATCTAGGGTTCAGTAATAATTCCCCCTGCCCCCGGGCACCTCCAACCCCACCTTCAACCTCCAGACCCATGGCCCCAGACTTCACATGGTCCAGCTGCCTCTCTTGCATGTACCAATTCCTTTGCAACTTTGAGCACCCTGGAAAGGAAAGGGATGTCACCACCCAACAGGATGCTGGGGAAATGCGTGTGTCCCTTTGTGCTCAGGAAGTGGTCTCCCTAATGAATTGTCCTGGGCCTTGTCCAAGGGGGCTGAAAGCTTGACCCAGGCCAATTTCCTGTTAGCGTAGCCTCCACAGCAGCATCAGATTCACACACCCGCTGTTGGCTTCAGCTAATATTTTGCCTTCCTGGAGCAAGTATTGTCCACATTCATGACACACTCCCTCACGGGGGACTGCCCAAACAAAGCAAAAGCCAAATGCCGCAACTATGTGGCAGCGACTGAGAACCCTAAGCTATAGGGTGAGGCTGAGTCTACCAACCCAATCCGTTCTTTTTTTTTTTTTTTTTTTTTTTTGACAGGCAGACTGGACAGTGAGAGAGACAGAGACAGAGAGAAAGGTCTTCCTTTTTGCCGTTGGTTCACCCTCCAATGGCCGCCGCGGCCGGCGCATCGTACTGATTCGAAGCCAGGAGCCAGGTGCAGGGCCCAAGAACTTGGGCCATCCTCCACTGCACTCCCTGGCCACAGCAGAGAGCTGGCCTGGAAGAGGGGCAACCGGGACAGAATCCGGTGCCCCGACCGGGACTAGAACGCGGTGTGCCGGCGCCGCAAGGCGGAGGATTAGCCTAGTGAGCCGGGGCGCCGGCCTCCCAATCCGTTCTTTAGTAGCACCCCCCCCCCCCCAGTCCTTTCTTCTGGAAAAGCCTCCTGTTTTCCAAAATCCTGAATGACGAATGAAGGTCATTTCTGGGGTCTTCATTTTGCAAGTGGGAAAACTAAGTCCCTCTGGGAGACTAAGAACAGAGATCCCAGGCAGGCTCCTCATCCGCAGGAGGAGCTGCCAGCCCTCTTCCACGCTCTCTCCAGGGTGAGCACATTTGCTTTTCTTTCCTTTCCTTTTCTTCACGCCAGTATTTGGCAGTGACCTACATAGACCACATGCCTAATAATAATTTGCACTTTATTAGCACCCAACATGCAAGGCCTCAGGGGATTTGGCAAAGAGCAACATTTATGAAATCATTGTCTTGTTGCAAAGAAACCTTCACACCTCTGGGTGGCCTTTGGAGAGAAGAAAATGCAGGCAAGGACTCGAGGCACAGCTGTCACTTGCATGACTCCTCTCCGTTTTCATTGTTTTTTTTTTTTTTTTCTTTTTTCTTTTTTTTTTTATGGAAGTCTCCAAGACCAGGGCTGACTTGCTCAGGGTTGATGTTTAAGATTTACGACAACTAGCCCTGCTCAACTGTTGACGAATCAGAAGGGAGTTGGCCAGAGCAACCAATCAGAGCTCAATTCCCACTGCCACTGCAGTTGGTCTGGCATTGCCCCTTTTAATTGCAGGATTAAAAGGTCCAGAGAGTTCCCAGTGATCAGGGTGGTGTGACAATAGCTACACTAAGCAATATGGAAGTAATTCGGTACTTATCTGGCTGACTGTGAACTCAGATTTCATACACCATCTCAGTTTCTAGAAAGTGCTGATCCACAGTAGATGATTGGCTTTTTCCTAGGTATTCATGGTGAGTAATTACAGCAGGCCACAGAGCAGGCACATTTGGATTCAGTTGATTGAAGGACTTCATTTTACTACATTGCTCTTCTGCTCTGATTCACTGGTGCTAGAGATGGAACTGGAGGTGGGTCAGGTGCATGGTTACCTGAAATAGACTAATGTAGGTAAAATGAGAGTAGGTACAAGTCTCAAATGACAGCCTGAAATGGACCAAGCTGGGAAAGCCCAAGAGGGTCCCCAAGTTCAAAGGACAAGTGTGGGGTCAGACCCAAGAGACAACAAAAGCAGGGAAGCTGCTGGTGAGACCCTAAGGCGAGAAGGTTGAGAAGATCCTAGTGCAGTGGAACGAGTGGGTCTAAAACCCTTGCATCGAGATCTCTACCATGGCTTTGCTGTGGGAAGCTTGGCTATGAGCCAGCACGGGGTAAGGGATAGTGCTGCTCTATCCGTGCCAGCTCTTGCAACCTCCTTGTGAGAAGATTTCTCCACGTGTTTGTAGTGCACATGGCAAGTTCTTTCCAGAAACGACCTGCCGGATGCCAAAGCTAATGCGTCAGAAGGACCTTCATCGTCAGAGGGCTGCTGCTGGCTGTGAAAATGCCTGAGGTGACTGAGTGACCTTTTCCAGCACAGAGTCCCAATTCTGTAGGACTTTGGCTGTGCTAGGTAGCTTATAAAAGTTTGCCAATGCAGTGGTTCTAAGCAGACTGCTGACGGTATGGAAGGATTCTCCTGATGAACAGAACTCATCTCCAAACATATAAATCCTTTCTCCGCTCTGCTGGATGCCCTAGGTCCTCCCACTGACATCTGCGTGGAGAACTCATTGCCCCTTGCTAGTAACCTATTAAGAGAGTCATGAAGGATGACTGAATTTGGAATTTGTGAACCAAAATTTATGCGTGACCTGAATTTAATGCCATGTGCTACACCCTCTTCCCCCAAATTCTGTCATCCATGCCACACGTAACTACCACACTTCCTGCTGGGCTGCCACACCTGGGGTGGCTGGAATGCCCACACCCAGAAGGAAGCAAGCTTCGCTGTCACTTCCATCAGTTGCCACTGCTGTGTTATCCATGGAGTTCATTGCCTATGATCTCATCACCCTACAACGTTCAGGATTCTGTCTCCACCACAGCGGTATTCAGATCCTATGATTTTTCTAATAACTAGATCGAAAGACATGCATTGAGAGTCAATAGGAGTCAATATCCCTACTGTGAGAGCAAATGTCTTCATAACATCCCCTCCTAAAAGTCCTTCTTGTACCGTGACACTCAGGTCTTACAAAGGAGACTCATCTTTTTTAACCTTCAAAAGTGAGACAGGGTAAACTAGACGGAGAACGAGGGCTTTGCTCCACATTAGTAAGGTTGACTGTAAAGCAAAATGACAACGATGGAAGGTGATTGCTCTCCGTAGGCAAAGTTTTTCAAATGCCATTTTCTTTTTGTTTGTGTGCATGGTTATTAATACCTATGATTCAAAAGTCAAAATGAGATCAAAAGAAATGAGTGAGACGTTGCAGTCTCATGGCTGCTGCAGTCTGTCTGTGTCCTCCATGCCATCCCCTGGAGGTCATGGTTTCATACTTCAGCATTCCTGTACGTCCTCTAAAATTCCCTCATGCAAATTCTTCTGTTTTCCCTAAAATGGGAGCTTTTGTACTGGTGCAAAAAGCTCCTCTCTGCCCACACTAGAAGATAAAGTCAAACAAGGCAGACAAAACGAGAACTGACCCCAGAAGACTGAGATTGCATTCAGAGTCTGTGTTCCTGTGATTAGCAGCAGCACCAGAAGTTTCCCCTGCACCTGGCTCTTAGGAGAATGGTGAAATAGAGTGTTTGCTTCCTTCTCCCTGGCTCTGCTCACCTGCTTCTTCACGCTCACAAGTATCAAGTCCACAAACTTCTCTGCTTCTTCACGCTCACACGTATCAAGCCCACAAACTTCTCTGACAAAGGTCCGCTTTTCGTTCTACACCTCATCCCCATAACCAGGAAGCATACCTGTCCAGGGTCTCATCACATTAGGGCCTGTGGGTTGGAGAAAGGGATTCTAATGGACATACATTCAAGAAAGAGGTGGCTGACTTATTCAAGCCAGGGTTCCTTCCGATGAGATATAGCCCTCAAAATGGGTCTCATAGGGAAACAATATTGTAAGACATCTCCAAATGTGCAGTGTTCAACATATTTATGGAAGAGGTTAAACCAGGGGATGTGGCAGGTGCCAAGCAGAAGTTCTGCCCTCTTGGACAACCTCACAGCCTCGTGAGGCAGATTACAACACAGTAATAAGAGCTATGGGGAAACACAGAAGAAGGACCCATCACCAGAAGGCTGCACAGCGGAGACCTCATCACAGCTGAGGCCAGTGAGGTACACAGGACTCAGCCAGACAGTAAGATGGGGTCTGCAAAGACACTAGGTTGAGCAAGTCCTAGCTCGTTCCTTCTCTCCTACAACTTCCTTTCCAGTCGGGACCTTCGGGAGATAATTCTGGTAACTAAAGGAGTGACTTTCATGCAGTGCTAGTAGCAGTAGGAGCTGGAGCTTCTTGGAAGTGGTGGAAGAGTGGAATCCTTCACGTCACAATACATGGATAGGGCCAGCTCTGTGCAAGGCCAGGTCGGGGTGGCATCAGGGAAGAATCAGGAAATCAAAAGACTTCTCTTCCCACAGCCTGTAAGTTGATAGTAGATACCACTCCATGCAACAGCTTTGGAAACCTCGGAAAACCCAGAAGCTACGGGAGCTTCCAGGGAAAAGGCTTGAAATGTGAATGAGTCAGAGGTGAATCCAATTCCCAACAGAAAACAGATGGCACACTCAAAACAGTGGGTGGAGGCACAACCAATAGTGCAATAGTTGGTTTCTCACCACCCTGAGGCCCACAGGAAGGGGGTTAGTGGCAGTAACCAGAGCCTAGCAGGAGGAAGTGACTTATTAGACCCCTGGGTCTTGAGAGGGGCAATGATCTTCAGCAAGATTACCCAGCAGAGAGGGAGTCAGTGGGACCAGTTCCCCAGCCTCCCCCTCCTTCCAGTCCTGCCAGGCCTTCAAAGCAGCCGAACCCAGATATTCAAGAGGGCAGCCTGTGTTGAGGAGGCTCCAGGCACAGAGAAGCTTAAAGCATGGGCCTGAGGGGCTCAGGAAGCCAAATGGCAGAAGGAAACACGTGTCCCCACTGGGGCTCCTGGTGGCCCAAGACCAAACAAGCTTTCTTTTCTTCTTTATGCTTTTCTTTGTTCTTCTGATATCCTCAGAATGAGTGCATATGACTCCTAGGGTTAAGAAAATGCTATTTTTAAATATAAAAAATGGTGGTGGTGGGGGAGCAACAACAATTAAAACAGGAATGTGGCACAAGGAGACACCCTGGGGGACTACAAAAGCCTTCATTAACTAGTGTGGGAAAAGGAGGCCCCCTCCAGAATTCCTCTTCCAGTCTGAGTAACCAGCCAATGTTTTCCCACAGGATGCAGACCACGAAGAAGGCAAATGCAACTGGTACTGTCAACCCAGTTGAGAAGAGTCCCTGGGCCCTGAAGCAAGTGGTGGCCGGGCCCCTCTCGGCTCTCTGAAGTGAGTCTCCTAGGGAAGGAGGCGGCAGGGAGCAGATGCTCAGCGCCCCAGGGCCATGGGCTCTAGGCTCAGGTTAGCCACTTCATCCTGAATCTCCAGCAGGTCACTCAGACTCATGCACCTGTGAGTGTCCATGGGGGTCCATGGCCTTGTAAACTGTTAGCCACCCTACAGATATTCCTTGCAAGTGTCAGAGAGGAAGGCTCAGAGAGTCACAAAGCCTACAGAGCCGAGGAAAAACTCCCAAGATCCCCTGGGCCATGGCCCACAGCGCTGGGAAGGCCTGCAACACAGCTAAGCATTGAGTGGAAAGTGCCTGAGTTAATTTAACAAAACACACGTGGAGGGCCAGAGGCTGTTGCCATGTATTTGTCTAATTTCTAGTCACATGACCTCCCTTCTGTTTCTCTGCCTTTTCCACGCCGCCATGGTGCTTTGAGTTTCCTGTGTCTAGGACCTGGCCAGGAGTTTCTTGAGGGGCCACTCCCTCCCTTCTTAGAAGTGGACGCAGGCCCCCCGGTTGAGAACGTAAGCCCCCTGGTGGAGACATAAACGGAGAACAGCATCCCTAACACCCAATTTCTCTTGCTCTTACACTGCTTTTGGCAGTGTGATTTCAGCAAGTACTTGTGCTGAGAGACTCCTGTCCCACGAAGAAGGAGCAAGATAGAGGAAGGCCCATGAGAAAAGTCTCGACAGAAGAGGGCGTGAGAAGAAGGCAAAGTGAGGACACGGGTCAGTCAGTATAAAGGCTGCACAAATCGGGTAATTTAGTATAAAGCCTGCCTACAAATGCGGCCACATTCTTTCAGAGTCATTCTCAATCCTTTTGACATTTGGCACTGTGGGGTCTGATGTACTTTCGGCAGGGCATGATGGTTTTAGGGTCAAAGGGAAACACAGTTGCCAAGGAAGACTCATCAGATTCTGCGCCCTCACCACCCCTTATACCTCTCGCCACCACCTACAGGAGAGAAGAGAAGGAGCACCTGAGACAGAGACACCTGGCCCTTCCGTTGGCTTAGCGTGTTGAACTAGTCTTCTTGCCTAGTTTAAAACACCTAGGCTGGCTTGCACCTAGTGGTGTTGGCACTCCACAAAGGCTAAGTGGGGTAGGGTGAGTGATTGGGGTAGGGACCTAGAAATAGAGAAAGGCTATAAAAGTAGAGCATCTGCCCTTCCCATTGAATAGGGTCATGTCTAAGAGTATGAATTCTGGAGTCTGATTGAGAAAGTTCAAACCACAAATCTGCTCCTTGTCTGGAGAGCCCAGTTAACTTACCACTGCTGTTCCCTCCAACCCTCTAGACCCTTGGCTTCTCCAGGAGTAAAAGAGTTCACTGGCAGAACTATCACATTTATCTTAGCATGGTGCCTGGCCAGAAAGAAGGGCTCAATCATTGCTAGCTACTGTTTTCATTATTGTTCCTCTACTTGTTGAGCAACCTCGGATGAAAAGGAGACAAAACTATTTCTAAGTACCTTTGCATGAACTAGAGAAACTTGGCATACAAACATTGGCCTCTGGGCCTTAGAGAGGCAGAGAGCCCAGGACTGGGCAGAGA